TTCAGTCATTTTCAGCATAATGGCATAGAGGCTCATATGTATGCCTCGCAGTGGTTTCTGACGTTGTTCACAGCAAAGTTCCCTCTTTCGATGGTTTTCTGGATTATTGACATTGTGCTTTGCTTGGTAAGGAAAGATTCTGTGATGCTAAATGTAAACAACTTTTTATTGTAGATTAAATAATGTTTTATTTTGATGCAGGGGACTGATTTTGTCTTTCAAATGGCTGTGGCTTTACTCAAGGTAACTATGAGCGGGCTTCCTGTGTTATTCGCAAGATGTCACCACTGCCTGTTGCCTCTTTATTGAATAAAAAAAGTATTTCCTATCTGAAAAGATCCTAAAAGTGACCACAATTCATATTATAAGGACGTTATAATAATATAATTATAATATGTTAAGTGTTTTTAAGGTAAAAGTTAAAATAAAAAGTTAAAACAAAGACAAAAAAAAGTCAGTAAAACGCTCTACATTTCAAAATCGTTTGGGTGTATCTTTGGACAGGATGCTAGGAAAGAGCTCCTTCAACTGGACTTTGAAGGAATTCTCAAGTATTTCAGAGTTACAATGCCCAAGAAATACATGGATGAAGAACGCTATAAACAGCTGTTTGCTTCAGCACTTGGCATCAAGGTAAATGCTAAAATCTATATAGCAAGTATGAAAGAAAGTTTTGATACTGAAAATTTTAATAATTAGTCTCCATGTGGCATAGATATAGTCGAAAAATACCAAGATTTTAAAAATTGTAGTATTCATGACGTTTGATAACTTTTTTCCTGTGATATACAAGTATTTCGCAAAACGTTGTCACAGAGAAGTTTACCATTTCTACTTTGAGCAAAAGGTAGAATAGTCTCCTTCACGGGCTGGTGCGCCATCTTGAAAGGTAGCCGTGAGTTTACATCGAAGCGAGACGACCGTTGAGCGTGCAATGATAGATACCTGTGAATAATTGTCTGAAGGTGTGAAAAAAGGTTTCTATCATTGCACGCTCAACGGTCGTCTCGCTTCGATACAAAGGTACGATTACCTTTCAAGATTTTCAATATACTATATTCATTTTGGAGCAAAGTACAATTGTTTTTTTTTTCTTCTTCTTTTTCTTCTTTTTTCTTTAGGACGTTTTTGACTTAGGTATACATGTATATCTTGCGATTTTTCTTCGTCACTCAAAAAAATCTTTAATTGTGTCGTTAGAATTGATATTTTACAAACTTTGCAATCATTTTTTTACAGATATCGCCCAAAAAACTCAAAAAATACGAAAAGCAGTTCATTGCGTTGAAAGAGAAAGAGGCTCAGCTTGAAGATCCCGTTGAACGGTTCACTGTAAGTTCTGTAGCTTATGAGATTGCATGTTTTCACATGAGATGAACATTAGATGATACGGCACATTCCCTTGCTATTTAAACAATCTTGGCCGAAAAGGCCCTGGGGATGAGTTTGCTGCAACGTGCACTGTTATGGGATTAACTCAAATACAATCTGAAGTCATATTGTTGAGTTTTGTTGGCTGTCTTAAAAAAAGCATTTATTTAAAACTGTTACTCACTCTTGTCTATTCACACAGCACTCAAATACAATACAATACAATGAACTTTATTTAAAGAGGGTAACACTTGACAGTATTAAAAAACACTGATGAACTCGTGGCCCTCAAATGTCCAGGTATCTTATTTAAGATCAGAGTTAATAGAGGTTGATAAGGTTTCCCTCTATTAACTCTGTTAGCTGATTTGTTCTTGGAAAGCATTCGGAAGCTCCTGGAATTTTGTGATTAATATGTATGACGAAACCTGTGTATTGTCTCTGCTTATTTTAATCATGTTTGSTTGTGTTATAGCGAGAAAACAAACGTCTTTTGGAAGCGAATATGCGCTTAGAAGGAGAAAATGATGCTTTGGCTCATGAGCTTGTCACTACAAAGGTTACACTACATAGCAGACTACTGGAGGTAACGTAACCTAACTTTATTTAATTCCAACCAGAGGCTTCTATTTTCCCGTTGGGAAACTGAGAATGATCTGTGTATAATTAGGGCCGGTTGTACGAAGGGTGAAATCGTCATCCAGTGGTTAAAATCCATATAAAATCTAGGGAGAAGATGACCTTAACCGATGAATTCTTTGTTTTCATGTTGCGTCACAGCGGCCATCTTGGAGGAACTTTAAAAAAGGATTTCTTAATAGTATCTATTGTTTATTCCTCCAACATGGCCGCCATTTTTTTCAGACTTCGTACAATCTATTGTGGATGTGTATTTTTTTATGGATAAGACTAATACATGCATCAGTATTTTCGGAGAACAATGCGTCCGCCATCTTGAAAAGTGGGACTCGAATCACTAGATTATAACTCCTAAAGGAATTAAAAGGTTCTAAGCTAAT